TGTGTGTCTTAAAATTTTGGGTTTTCATTCCCAAACAGCTGCTAGAATTCTTTGCAGAAACAACTATTCAGTGATGAATATAGTTATCTTTTTGGGTCAAGTATGTAAATTACTATTAGATTCTTCTGGATAAAAGCTGCTGCAGAAATTACAAAGCATTGTAACACATTCATGTCAGAGTATGATTAGGTATTGAGTCGTAAACAATTCAATGCTGAAATATTTCCAAAGTGCCAAAAGTACCAGAGATGCATCTTTTTTGGATGCTAGACACCACTTTTTTGTTTAATATTATTGTACTATTTATACCAAATTTTTCTTGAAGACAAGGTAACAAAACTTTGAATTAGCACAGTACTCCATTTCTTTCGATAGATGGGCTGGTATTTGGAAATTAAGACCTGGCTGTTTGCCACTGTGTGTGGTATCTGGAGCCGATAAAAGAAAAATCTGATTTGATGCCTTGCTGACTCCTAAATGAGAGGTGTCTATAAATCCTGTGATTTGGTGTTACATGTTTATTGTTGATGATTGCCACCCATTTGCCTGCAACGTATGTACTGACACAGTGGGCACAGATACAATAAGCTAAACATTCCCTCTTTTGAAAGAGCGCAAGAGTGGTCCACGTGTGAACAGCCAGCTACTCGGTGACTAGCTGGTCAGACCTGAAAAATAAAGGCATACTTAATTTAATTTTCTTTTCTCCCAGTTATTGAGTGAGTCTGGAATTACCACTATCAACCTCAGATTCAACAGAATGGGTTCTTATCTCCAGTAAATCAAATTTTAGGATTCTTTGTGTTCAAACACCCTGGCAGAATTTTCACTAGCTGAGATCAGAGATTCAGATTTCTTTATTTCTAATTCTATGTAGCAGTGATGTTTAAAGTTAAAGAAAAATTCTAGTCACATAGGCAAATTTAAAACCAGCACAAAATCTCAGGCATTTGGAAACATTTTTTTTTAGTAGATGCATAATGACAAGTTTTGTTATGCTTGGAGGGGCTGTGTGTTCCCTCCTCCCTTTGGTTTGCTATGATTCATGGGAATCGAATGTTTACACTGAGGTGGGCATCAAGTATTAAAGACCTCAGGTCAGTGCCAATTACAATTTTTCTGTGTGCAAGAACACATAATCCTAAATCTCACTATCTAAATGGATTGCCACAGTTCATTGTCCTGCATAAAATAACTTCTCTAATGTTTTGCATTCTGTTCCTTAATCACATCTGAAATCATGAGAGTTGTGCTTATTGCTGTATCTGTGAAATACAAATTGAGATGTAAATGCCATAATTATTCCTCTTGACGTTGGTATTCTCTGAATTGCTGTTATCGCTAGTAAGTCAGAGGGACAAATTTCCCTTCCCAACCTTATGCTCACAGGGCAAGGCATGCATTTACATTAAGCAGAGAAATTTAGGAAAGTTTATTCCACCTGCCATTGAGTATTGCATGTGGCATATTCTTTTCACAAACCCAGCTTTTTGTTGTTATTGCAGATATTATGAATAAGAAACCACAGTTGGCCTGGAAGCTCTATCTGAAGATGGAGACCTCAGGGGAGTCCTTTAACCTTTTGCAGCTCATCGCAAATGATTGCTACAAAGTGAGTCTTCTCTTTAGAACTTGGTGTATGGCATGTTAATTCAGTGATTGTACCAACAGACATTTTTTTGATACTTTCCATCATTGTCATCACTAGTGAATTTTCTTTTATAACAGTGGGATGTCTAATAATGTAGATGAGTTGGCAAGGATTAGTCAGTCTTTTAACCTACAGGCCTTCTTGGTAGACAGTCCACTGATTAAAATATTGGTAAATTACTGCATGCTTGAGCTATCAATAACGGCAACAGTTTCTTCTCCTGCTAGGGATTCATTGTTGGTAGAAATTACAAGAAACTTTTAAGACAAAGATCTAGCATAGATTCAGTAAGGAGCCTCATGCTGCCTTTTTTTTTCTGTGATAGCTTTATTTTTCCTTAAAGCTTGTAATAGCAATGGAAGATACTTCTTTGTTAGTCATGAGGAAATGGAAAGAGAATTCCCCCAACCACTATTCTATCTGCCCAGCTGGGCACAAAGAGACACAATGTGTTTGCAGTCATTAGGAATAAAACTACTCAGAAAAAATGGCGAGCTTACCTGCCTACAGTTGGATACTTGCTAACACGTAATAGGTCTTCTTTTGAACCTTTTATAGAGGAGACTTTTAAAGAGATGAGGTTAGACTAAGCTGTCTAATGTTTTTAAAAATCAAGCTAGACAAGACAATGTCCACTCTAGTAGGGATGCTCTGGGCATTTTAGAACAAGTTAAAATATATGCTAGTTTACTTGTTCTAAGCTTCTAGATTGTGTTTCCTAGTTCTGATGCTCCATGCTAATGTGCTGATGGCAGACCTCCAAATTCTATTTTATACAAAGCTATGTTAATAGTGAAGAGATCTTGGGAAGCTGATTACAATTCTGCCTAAATTCCTACCATCTAATTCTTCAGATGGTGTCTATACACAGCGAGACCTAGCTTTGATTCAAGTTTTCTTGCTGTTCTGCAAAGCATGTGTCCTGGCTTCGGGTAAAGCAGAACCGATTCTCTTTCAGTGAATCTTCCTTACACGCAAGCTCTGCAGTCATAAAGAAAATATGGATTTGATGGGTGGACGTTTTGGTGGATAAGGAATTGGTTGGAAGGTCACAGCCAGAGGGTGGTGGTCAACGGCTCGATGTCCATATAGACGCCGGTAACAAGTGGTGTCCCTCGAGGGTCCACACTGGGGGACCGGTGCTGTTTAATATTTTCATCAATGACATAGACAGCAAGATCGAATGCACCCTCAGCAAGTTTGCAGATGACACAAAGCTGAGTGGTGCAGCTGACACGCCAGAAGGACAGGATGCTATCCGGAGGGACCTGGACAAGCTTGAGAAGTGGGTCTGTGTGAACTTCTTGAAGTTCAACAAGGGCAAGTGCCAAGTCCTGCACCTGGGTCAGGACAACCCTTGGTATCAATACAGGCTGGGGGATGAAGGGATGGAGAGCAGCCCTGCAGAGAAGGACTAGGGGGTACTGGTGGATGAGAAGCTCAACATGAGTCGGCAAAGTGCGCTCGCAGCCCAGAAGGCCAACCATATCCTGGGGTGCACCAAGAGAAGCGTGGCTAACAGGTTGAGGGAGATGATTCTGCCCCTCCACTCTGCTCTGGTGAGACCCCACTTGGGGTCCTGTGTCCAGCTCTGGAGCCCCCAGCACAAGAAGGACATGGAGCTGTTGGAGCGGGTCCAGAGAAGGGCCACAAAAATGAGCCGAGGGCTGGAGCACCTCTCCTACAAGGAAAGGCTGAGAGACCTGGGGCTGTTCAGCCTGGAGAAGAGAAGGCTGCGGGGGGACCTTAGAGCAGCCTTCCAGTACCTGAAAGGGGCCTGTAGGAAAGATGGGGACAAACTTTTTAGTAAGGCCTGTTGTGACAGGACAAGGCGTGATGTTTTTAAACTAAAGGAGGGTAGATTTAGACTGGATATAAGGAAGAAATTTTTTACAGTGAGGGTGGTGAAACACTGGAACGGGTTGCCCAGAGAGGTAGTGGAGGTCCCACCCCTGGAAACATTCAAGCCCAGGTTGGACGGGGCTCTGAGCAACCTGGTGTAGTTGAAGATGTCCCTGCTGACTGCAGGGGGGTTGGGCTAGGTGACCTCTAAAGATCCCTTCCTACACGAACTATTCTATGATTCTAAAACATGAGAGCTTCATGTGCAGGGTGGATGTAGAGGCATATAAAGAAAACTTGTTTGAAAGGATTGTAAATGGCACTATAAGAGAAAGAAAAATTGGTTGTCGTATGTAAAGAATACTGCTGTGCAAGATTTCAGTAGACAGTAAGAGGATGGTGTATCCGGCATCCTCTCTGCCATCTACAATGATGATTGCACTGTGTTGGAACCTAGAGGAGTAGCAGTTCAGTAACAGGAGAAAAGGGTGTTCTCTGGACAAGTGTCATGGTGAGACACAGGCCGTCCGCTTCTCAGAATGTATTGGCCAGAGCTGCTTATATCAGAAGGCAGGCTGAAGTTATTTGGGGAGCAACTGTTTCAGATTTAATTTAAATTAAATACAGAATGTAAAGACAGATTGTAATTTTATGATTGTGCAAATATAGTAGTTCACTGTTTTAAGAAGACAGACGTAAGAAGAGGAGCAGAACACAGATAATAGGTGTAAAGCTTGTGGATCAGTAAAGCCTAATGCAAATGAATACACAAGAACTAACAGCTATTAGCGTAGGCTTATTAGAGATACAGTGACCACACTTGCCATCATAGAGGAAAGATAGTAAACAGTCCTTTTGAAAACTTCCTAAGGATTCTCAGTTCAGCCAAGCTCTCCAAAGAGCAGCAATATCTGCATACTATCTGTAAAATTCTTTTCTGCTGTTTTCCTTCATCTGACAAAGTAACATGGTCTCAAAATCCTAACAAACACAAAATTGAAAGTCAGAAAATCTACCCTGTGATCACAAAAGCATTCTTCTAAAACTGAGTGAATTCTGTCTTGCACATCTTTCAAGTATTCCATCCACCAGCTCACGCTAAAAGTTGTGTTGCTCAAGCAAGTGGCTGTGCCTCTGGTGTTTCCTGTAGCTGCAATTTGTGAAAGCAAGTTGACGATCAGACCTTATGTAAAACCTCTCTATAGACCATTCTAAGTCTCATTTAAATCAGTTGATTACTTTGCCTAAAATCTTCTCAAAACCTTATTGTACTCTAGAGGAGAAGCAGCTCCACACTTTGGGTTTATCTAGAGCTCTTAAAAACTGCACTTACAGGACTAAATTTTTCAGCTTAATTATGTGTCTGCATATGGCTATAAATGACTGCTCAAAGACCAAGGAATTTATTTTAAAAATTATTACTATAGTGTTATAACTTGTCTTTCTACACTACCAGCTGTTTGTACCTCTTCCACTGAATGGCAAGGCCCATGTTGTTTGAGTTTATGTAGCATTTTCCAATTATTTCTGAAACATATTATATTGGAAGCCCACAGGCAGCACCACAGCTGTAACTTAAGGCGGCAGTCACACTGGGCTTCACTCAACAATTGAATGAACATGGGTGGAGCAAGGTCAACAGTGTCCTGAGATTAGGAGTAGCTGGAAGCCCTGTTGCTGTGCTGATATAAGTTGTTCAGTGAGGAAGCTGGGATGCAGGACATCTGGCTAATTTCTTGCTGCTTTTCATGCAACAGCCCATCTTACCCATATAGGGAACAGCATGTGACTTGGGGTGAAGCATTTCCTGCTTTTATGTCAGATAGAACCAGTATCTGCTTAATGGAACTAGATCAGATGCCAGTTTGGAGAGATCAGCATTCAATTTTTTCCTTTTAGCTGACACATCTGATATTGTTTATACACGCTACCTTTATTCCCATCCATTTAAGTGCTTGCCAGTCACCTGTGGTTAAAATCACCATTTATGTGAAGAAAAGGGAATTATTACTCATTCTGTAGTACCTGTGTTTCTCTGACTAAAGTTTCCAAACGTAACTCCCACAGCATATCCTTTTTTCCCAGCCACCAAAGGATGGGAGATTGTGCTCAGTCTGCCTTCTGTGCTCTCTCAGGGGAAGATGCTAGCCACAAACAACATTGCTATTCAGGCTTGCCCAAGTAAAGAACACTCACAGTCATAGATAACGTCCACATGAGTTATGCCGACTTCAAAAGCCACAGTTATTGTGGTCACTCCTTTCACACTGGCTGTTGCGAACCAGCTTGCTTCTTTTTCCCATATACAAGTAGAAAACTTAAGACAGAAAAGATAGGGTACACAATCAATTTTCCTTTGCTCAGGAAAAATTTAGATTATAGAGTCACAATCTTATTTTGTACTGTACTGTAACAGTGAAGAAAAAAATAATTAGCTCTAAGTTAAACCCAAAAGACATCCAAATATGTCTCTGTGACCATCTCTAGATGAGGAAAAGTGGTTCCATTTTCAAATGTTTGGACTACTTTGAAGTTGATATTCTATCAAAGCCTTTGGTATAGTTGGTACGACACTAGGTAGGGCACCTCATAAAAAAGAAGTTCTGTAAGCTAGGGTTATCAGCATATGATCAAAACAACAGTGCCGATCATTGCCAACTAATAAAGTTCACAGTGTAGTTTGTCTACAACATGTTCAAAGGCACAGACCAGTAATGTAATACCACCTGTTTCCCTGTGTAGAACTGAAATGTGCTTGTTCTGTGTCACTTGCTGCCTGCATTAAAACAGGAAAATGCACATTGCTTCTATGACTTACTGATGATTTCAGAAAACCGAGCTCAGAATTTTTAATCTCCTTCTGAAAGATGATCATATAGTCAGGAATAATGTTTCACTTTCTGTGCAGATGCGTCAGTTTTACTATTCAGCCAAAGCGTTTGATGTTCTGGAGAGACTGGACAGCAATCCGGAATACTGGGAAGGCAAGAGAGGTGCTTGTGTGGGTGTCTTTCAAATGATCTTAGCTGGCCGAGAAGCAAAGTGAGTATTCTGTGTTGTATCTGAATTTACTTTACTCTTTTCCTATTCCCAGTTAGCTGTAAGTCAGTATCTTAGCCTTTAGGACTACATATCTTCTTCCAATTCCTTACTGACCTTTCAGAGAATAGACAGTCTGGCTAGTGGTTCCATATGCAATGTTCAGTTTGAACTGTATCTTCCACACCATCAGTTATAGACTATATGGTGGAGAACAACTTCTCAGCGAATGCTATGAATAGTAGGAAACCAAAATACATTAGTCATTATACTAGGGAGAGCTAAGTTACAAATGTAGTATGTCTGTGAACTGAAGAACCTTATTTCATGTCGATGGCATAAGAATGGAAAACTGTCCCATGACATTTTAAAGTTCAGAACTAAGGAAACATTTACTCAGCATTGTAGGAAGGACACAATTCCTCTAAACAATGAGTAGATGAGACTGTGTTTTCACTCAAATTTGCTTTCTGGAGACACTGTCCATGTCAGACAAATATACTTATTTGATGAAAGCTTGAAAGCTTAAAAGCTTAAAGGAAATTATTTGTGTTACTGATAATTTTGCTTTCGGCCCATTTCACTGGATGGGAGAATGAGAGAGTAGTGAGGCTGTATTTAAGAACTGTTCCCTTATGAATATTCTGCTGTGATGCCAGATGGCCTTTCTCCCCTGGCCAAGGCAGCATGACTGGTAGGTGTGTATCTTGGCTTCTGCACCTTCCTTGTATTCCCTTCTCTGCTGGAATAATCTCATTAACTACTGCCCCCTTCAAGTGTCCTTTTAGCAATTACTGCAGTAAAATACACATAGCTTGCCTGGTTTTCAATTTTCATACAAGTTCTTGCTGTAAAGTAGCTGGCAAACTGTAGCTTCATACTGGCTTAACCTATTGGTAAGGTTCATTTCCATGCTATTTGTATTTATGTGTAAGGTGCCTTGGCAGCTTTAAGGTAGATGTCACACTAAAGACTGCCAAGTAGCATTAAAGACACACAAAAAAAAAAAAAAAAAAAAAAATTTTTTTAAATATGGGGAAATTTTTTTAG